ATCGAGTCTCAACAGCAACAGTGTAGGGATGAGTACGAAATACTGTAAATTAAATACTGAATGGCGGTTCATGCAGGGAAAGAACATATCAATATTCGCATATTCATTCAAAAACATGAAAATTTTTAATAGAGTACCTTCATTTTTTATTGAATTCCTAAAAATCAATATTTATAATGAATTTTAATAATTTTTTCGAATTTTTTTTAAGTTTTAATCTGACCGATTCACCCGATTCTCGATCCGGATCGCCGATTCGCCGATCCGGATCGGTTTTTTGGAAGCCCGATCCGGGTCACCGATCCGTTTTTTAAACCATTGGTCTTAACACTTTCTAAATAATAATAATTAAAATTGACGATGCCAGTTTTTCTAAATAATAATTATAATAAATAATTAAAATTGAAGATGCCAGTTTCATTCAATGGATTCCATTCAAATACTTCTCAGTGGAAGAGATTGACGCTCATTTTATTTGTCTAGTTATAAATTCGAAGAGAACAATGCACACAAAAAGAGACATTTGTAGATAATCAGCTTGAGCTATTTTCTCCGATTTGGAATCTGTGCTCGAGCAAGCTGTTGAATGTTGATGGGGGAGCACACATATGTACTTCCATTGAAGCAAGCCTGTGACATGAGGATGTTCACATTTTGGGTTGGATGGATGCCATCATAGAACACAAACTGGTTCCTGTTTGTGCATGTTGGCAGATTGGGTAGGCAGAGCAGTGTTCCATTCATATTGGCGCTACAGCACGCTTTGTTTGTAATGGTAAACCCTGAAAAAGAAGAAATGTAATGTGAGTTGCATGGTATGGATTTGTGGTTAAAAGGTGTGTCCTCTGCCTCTTCCTGCTCATTGCACATAGAAGAGGGGTGTTTGAGACCTTACCATAACGGGAAGGATTTGAGATGATCGAGGTGAAAGCTCGGAAGACATTTTCGAAGACAAAGATGGATCCTCTAAGAGTGAATCTTAATCTGTTCAATAGAAAGGGAAGCTGGATGTTGAATGGTGCTATGATCTGGTAATTCACGACATCAGAGCAACTGCCTCCAGTTCCTTGCCTGATTATTTGGTTGGGAGTGCATCCCAGTGCGCTAAGCCCCATCACCACTATCTTCCTTGCCCCAAGATTATATAGCATCTGTAAATTAAATGAAAACAAATCACCTTATTCTATTATAAGAGTTTCCATCATATTGGATTAAATGGGTCATCTTTGGAAGTGCAAAACAGTTCTGTAGCATTTTGTTCGAGGACCAGAGATATAACAAAAGAACAACCTTTTTGTCATTCCTCTCTCTCTCTCTCTTTATAGGTTGTTTTTATTGAATATTTTATTAGAACAAACGGGGAAGCTGTGAAAGTCCACAGTTTAGAAGTATTTGTAAGAGGACCAGGGCTACATAGCGGAACACCCTCTGTGTTTGTGTATGCACATGTGCAGGCGTGTGTGTCTGTGATTTCAGCTGTGTTTACCGTCAATTGTTGAGAGAAATTTTGCAGTAGTATTCTAGCGAAGGCTGGTGGGGAAAGATCTCGACTGGTGTTGAAGAACTCAGGAAGCAGATAGTTGAAGAGATAGTCGATGGTGCCAAATTCAACCACAAATATGGCTTTAGCGAGATGGTCTTGGAGTGCTCTGGAGCTGTTGAACAGTGGCGGGAGATCTTGTTGCACTGTCTTCTCAAAGAGATTGAGCTGTTGATTGAAGGACAGTCGTGCTTGCTGCAAAGAGGAAAACCAATGCAAATTGTGTTAGAGAAAGAGTGGGCAGAGACATAATTTCTGAGTTGCCACAAAGATAGATGGGTGTGTTGCCACAGAGACAGACTGGAGCACATCTGTGCTTGAGAGAGAGAAGAGGGAGAGAGATGATTTTGTATCCGTTGCAAGTGAGAGAATCGTGATTTTGTCTGTTGTGTGTGAGAGAGAGAGAGAGAGAGAGAAAGAGAGAGAGAGAGAGAGAGTACGAGTGGACTGCCGGACTCCTCTAGAATGCCACCCCCTCCAGAGGCATAATTGGCTCCGGTGAGGATCTTGGAGGTGTTTGTTGCAGAGAGGCTCAGGTATGGGGGAGGAAGCGGCAATTTCAGTAGCTGAGCTGCAAAATGAGCGACGCATTCAATACTTGACTCGAATGATAACCGAAACAAAGAGTAATATCAGACGAAGAGGATGGTCAATAAATTATAGGGATCACATGCTACACCTTTTACTAGAAATGTGTCATGTACCTATCATCTACCCTCCACCCTTATCCGTGGATAGTGGAGATGAGTAATTTTTCATGTGTAAAACATGGATAGCCCCGAAACTTCATAAACAACTTTTCACTTGCTTTTTTGGATAACATGGATGCCAATATGACTACCCAAATGATTGAACTCGTAAGAGGGATGAATTATATACATAGCAAATAAAAACTAGTTACTAACGATGTTGCTTTCTCAAGTGTGTTCTAGATAAAGGGGGGGAAGGTGACATTTTTAGATGATATTTTTCTAACACAGTGATAAGAGGTATCTTCACATTGAAATAACAAGAAAGGTTAATAAGTAGTATTAACTTTCTAAGATATCAAATATAAGTGTTGTGTGTTTAGCGTGTCAACATGTGCCAAATACCATGGACATGAATATCCATGTTATGAAGCATGGAACTTGACCTACATCTTTTCAGTTCTCCCTGTAAACAAAATCAATTCATTATATCTTCATTCTCCACACATGCATATACACACGGAGGATTCCGCATATTCGCACCTATTATGTCTGTGGTCGTGAGGCCATTGGTGAACCTTCCGGTGGCACCACTGGGGAAATCAATTCCGTATGGCGGGTAGTTTGCCTTGGCCAGTGCAGCTATGAAATTGTTGTTGCCATTGTCATTAATGGAGTCTCCAAAAATGTAGAGGGCTGATGCCAGTGGCCTCTGTGGTTGCACTTTCACAAAGGAGGAGAGAAGAGAATGAAAGACCAGAAGATGGTATGCCATTCTCTCTCTCCTGTTCATTGTTGGTTAGCTCAACTCAAGGGTGCTTGCAGGATAGGAGAGATGGGTAGTGTGAGAATTTATAGCTTGTGTCCCTGGTGATCACTCTCTTATTGATTTCCCTTCTTTATCTATCTGAGCTGAATTGATTTCTCTTTATGAGGGTGTTTAAATTTTCATTATTACTGTTTGAAGGGTATTTATAAAGTTTACAGATTTTTTTAGTACAGTTCTACAAGTGGATGATTTAATGCTAAGAAGCACACTTGCACACATCCTCTCTCTCTCTCTCTCTGCTCCTTAACTTGTCTCTTTCTCTCTCTACCTCTCTCTCTCTGCTCCCTAACTTGTCTCTTTCTCTCTCTACAACACACGTGCATAAATATAAGCAATCTTATTACCTTAACATTCTCTCTTGCTGTCTAAAACCCACCGCTCTTGTTTTTGTAGTTTAGAGCTTTTTGAGTGAACTTTTGGTTGGTTGGTTGAGTCTCTAGGGATGTTTTATGGAAGAAAACCAACGGGTTTCACGAGTGTGGGTTGTTCTATTTTTAGTAGTTGTTTCACTTTTTGGGAAAGTGGATAAGGTTTTTTTTTTTTTGAGAAATTCAATGGGAAAGACGCCTCTACTTGTGCTTTCAAATAGATTAGGAATCACGGATTCAATTGCTTTAATGTATTTTTAGAATAACTTTAAATCATAATCCTATATTATTTCATTTTTACATATCCAATTTTTTCAATTTGTTTTTTTAGCCAAGTCTGAAATATTCACAATTCTATAACTCATCATATTTTTGGACGATCGGTATTTTTTACCCGAATTTTTTTTCCAACCTTTTAAAACAAAACTGGTTCATTACTGATATTTTCATTTACATATATATTATTATGAGAAAGGTTTCTATACTTCCCCTGCAGCATAGAAGATCTATGCTTCCCCTACCATCTAACCATCCAATTTTAATCAAGAATCACTCACCGTTTGATCTTCGATCTGATGTCTCAAAATATTTTATTTTTATTTTTTATTTTATAAAAATTGTATGAATATGAAATTTAGTGTGTGCCATCTTCTCATTGGGGCGCACCTATAAAAAATATTAAAAATAATTTTTTGATAAAATATAATGACCAAAATACCCTTTGAAATTTTTAAAGGTATTTTAGTCATTTTATTTTATTGAAAATATTTTTTATTTTTTTTTATATTTTTCGATAGTGCGAGTTCAATAGAGGATTGGATGTACAAAATTTAGTGTCAAAATAGTTTATAAAAAAAAATTAAAAATAAAATAATACAGAGACGGGATATTATGATTGGGACAATCTTAGTCCTCCATTTACGATGGACGGTTGGATAAGGAGAAATATATACGTTTTATACTGTAAGGAAAACATAGGAAGCTTTGCCTTATTATTGTTCTCCAACTCGCTAACTACCCACTGCGACCCGAGCCCCTTTCCAAGGTGGATAAGTTTCTTTCGTTTTTGCTTGTTTAGCTTTAGCACAAAAGGTATGAAGTACAAGGGGCCCCTTATGGATCTCTTTTGGCTTTTTATAACGGAGAGAAAAGCCCCATGCTAAATTTCCAAAAATCATTTATAATTTATTCTAAGGAAGTAATCTATTTCTAAAAATCATTTGAAAAGATGGATCGGTTGGACGGATTGGCCTTCATGAAAACCAGTTTGGATCGGCAGAACAATGAATTGATGGTTAGATCGGCGATCTGGCCGAATGAATTGGCCAATAAAAAAAACAAAATGAAAAAAGAAAAGAAAAGGTAGAGCTGGATCAGAAAGAACCAACCGATTCTTTATATACAATAAGAACTGGACTGGTCCATCGATTCCCCATCCAAATTGGGCAATTCAGATCCCGGTCATCATTTTTTTAAACCCTGATTGCTGCCTTGTCCCCAACTCAAAATATGTTCAATTTTTGTGCCTAAAGTCCGAGTTTGTGGACTTCTGCTTCATTTTTCAAATGGGTCGACCCAAATATAGAATCTTTATTATGGTTTTAAAGGAAGAAATAAATTTTCTTGTAGTATAAATCCTATTCGGATAAATCTCGAGCCGAATGCTATTTAGGGCTGTCAATGAGACAGGCAACATGGAACTGCCCACTAGGCCCGGCCCAAAACTAGTAGGGCTTGGGACACAAACTATGGCCCAAGGGCTGGGTAGGAAATGTTCGGCCCGACTTGGCCCCCCATTTTTTTATTTTTTATTTTCTTGTTTTCTTGTTTTCTTTTGTTTTTTCTTCATTTGGTCTTGGCTCGGCACCTTAAGAAGATCAAGGCCGGCCCTGTGGGGATAAGGGCTAGGCTGGCCCGACCAGCCATGGCCCATTGCCACCCTCAATGAGCCCAGAAAAATAAGGGACAAACACAAGGTATCTTATCGGCTTTGATTAAGCAGCAATTTCCTATAGATAGTTTTTTTTTCTATGATAGTTTGGCGCGCAACGGACCAGGCGAGTCTGCCTGGAAACCTTGGGTCTGGGCCACAAAATGTGGTTCGAGGAATGGGCTATATAGCCAGTGCTGCCTCGGCCCGACCATTTTTATTCATTTTTTTCCTTGAGTCTATTAGGCTTGCCTGGCCGGGCCCAATGCGGACATGACCAATGCCGGCCTTGGACCTTTTTAGCCCTTTTGGGTTGGCCGGGCTTGAGGTAGCCTTGTAGGGACTAGGGAAGGGCTAGGGCCAGGGTTGGTTTAGCTTGGCATGTTGCCAGACCAATAGTAATTAATATTTGAGTTTATATATTTTTTGGAATAATAAAAATATGATATGTTGTATTAGTATCGGTAGCGTTTGTGATGATCAAAATCACCCTTTAGATATTTTCCTAAAAATATTGAGGGCATTATGATCTAGGTAAAAGCACTATGAGGTTTTTTTAGAGAGCTAAGAATGAAACTAAGTGATCTCTATATAAGAGCTCAAGTAAATTGTATTACTGTACCTTTTAGAGTCACTCTTATGGCATGTTTGATAATTAGAAGGTAAATGTTTTCTGAAAATTAGAAGTTTTTTTTATGTTGGGAAGAAAGAAGATCTCAGTGGAAAGTTCTGAGCATTTGTGTTTGATAACTTATTAGAATGTTGAAGGAGTTCTAGGCACCTGTGCTTACGTAATGCATATAGGCGAAAATGAACAATAGTTTTGCCTGTAGGTTCGTCAAGGTTCGCTTGTTTTGGACAATAGGGAAAAATTGACCGCTGTGGACATACTATGTCCGTTGTAGGGCAAAAACACTATTCACTTCGTCTGTAGGCATTGGAAAGTGTTTTCCATAATTTAAATATAAATTATGTGATATATAACATAATATAATATATAATATATAATATAGTTATATATATATTTTTTATTACTATATATTTGTATTATATAATATTGTAAATATCTATTATATAAATAATATATATATATATAAATATATTACTTATAATACAATATATATTAATAATTTAAATATAAATATATTATATTACATATAATGCAAAAATATATTGATAATTTAAATGTAAATATACAATATATAGAGCATAATATAATATATAATATATTGTATTTTATTTATTCATGACATATAATAAAATAAAACATAAATATAATAAATCTATTATATACTATATATAATATATTATAAATATAATACAAATATATATTAATAATTTAAATGTAAATGTATAATATACAAAGCACAATGTAATATATAATATAATATATTTTATATTTATTTTATTAATATATATTATATATAACATGCAGAATATATTATGTAATATGAATATATATATATATTATATAAATAAATATAAATTAACAATATAGATATAAATATAAAAGTAATGATCTTATGAGACCCTCTCACACCCATGTGAGTAGGACCCTAAATGATTAACATTAAATTTGATACAGATCTCTAGAAAAGTTATCACATGAGTGTGAGATTTGATTTTTTTAGAAATCTGTGTCAAATTTAATGATGGTCCTATGGGATCCTACGTATATGGATGTGGGAGGGTCTCACAAAGGAGGGAGGCATAATAGAGTTGAGGAAGAAGCCCTCTTCGGACCAAGTTCCTATTTTAAGTTCTATTGTTTTAGACGGAACTTTTTTTTTGAGCAAAAGGGCGTAAGGAAGTTCTTCCATCCAACACTTCCTTACTATATAAGTTCCGTACATCAAATATGGAAGTTGTATAGTAATTGGGAAGTTTCTTCTTCGTTCCACTAACTTTCCGCCATTAAACACGCCCTATGAAGTCATGGAAGGGATCACCAAGAGAGACGTCTCAATGAGAGACACAGAGAGATGAGTCTCAAAGAGGGAGACATGGTGTCCTAGAGAGAAGTGGTATTCCATGGAATTTGAGAGCTGGAATTCCTTGGAGTTTTAAAAACACTCTCTTAATCTCCAGGTTTCTTTGAAGGAGTTTTGGTTGGCTATATCTCTTGTAACTCGAACATTTATTTTCATTATGGCATTAGATTTTGTCATGCTCATGCTGAAGTCCATTTGGGGTATATCTTGAATTTTTTCTTTTTTTGTGGTTCATTTTATTCACTTATTTTGTATCTAACGAACTGTATACATGACCTTCAGTGTGATCGAAGTGATTGGGGTTCCCAATTACCCGAGCCGGGGGTTCTTAAGAACCCTACACTGGAAATTTCGGTATCACTCAGGCTCATTAGCAAGTGTTATATGCTTACATGGGCATAAGTTCGCAGCGGGCCGTGCGTTGTGGCCCTGGGGCCACAGTGGTGCTGCCTTGACCCAACCCTCAGGCTATATTTTGTTGCTCCAGACCCTAATTTTTTTGGGGCCAGACCAACCTAACCGGTCGCCTGGCCGCCCTACATAGGTATGAGTTTTAGTATATGTTCATATATATTTTAAAGGAAGATTTATCAAATACTCAAAGAGATGCAGTGCTCATTATTTTTTTGATTTAAAGCCATTCCAACTCAAAACTATGTGGCTTTATATGGGTATTTTGAATTTAAATAA